AAAGTCCCTAATCTTTGGCCAGACGTACAGGGTCCCTCCTGCCTCTGCAGCCTCATCTCCCACCGTGCCCCCCTCCACACCTGAAGCTGGAGACGCCCGACCACCTGCAGGGCCCTCAGCCCGCCCCGTCGAGCCCATCTGTGCCTTTTATGTGTCGCTCCCTCTGTGGAGGGCTCTCTCCCTCCTGGGATGAAAGCTCTTCTGAAGAGGTTGCCTCCTCCCCGCCAACATACTCAGCAACACCTCTGTGCTCCTGCGGCCCGCGGGAACGTGCCGGCACCCGCGCCCGGCGTCGTGATGTCATTACCGCAGCCTCGTCCTTCCCCGTGACCTCCTCTAGAGCAGGTCTCTTGTCTGCTACTTTCTGGACCCACGATCCCTGCCACAGTGCCTGGCACACAGCCGGTGGGTGCTCAACTAACTGAATCGGTAAACAAGTTCCCTTCCAGTCAGTGATCTGCAGCCTCCTCTCTCACTTAAATTTTGATCGAACAGCTAATAAAATAGCTTAAGAGATGCATTTGAGTTTCCCTCCCTTCTCTTTAATAGCAGTAGGGTCAAACCTGATATGGACAAGGCAGTGAGCAAAAGAAGTGAAAAAGTACCTGCAAAATCCTCCCAATAAATAGGATCACACATTAGCTCAGCCATTCCAGAGTGAGTATGAAGGACAAGGTAGGACACACACTCTTGCAGCGTGTTTTTTTGTTAAGATGCTGAATTAAAGAAAGCGGAGAGGTATTGAAGCCTATGAGTAAAGCAGGGGTCACAGCTGCCCTCACTGGGATCTCAAAAGGGTTTAAAGAAGGGCCCCTCACCCAGGTCCTCTTAGGTCTCAGCCAAATGCTTCTGACTTGCTATCTGTCAAATCCAGCAAGACATCTGACAGCTCCACAGTGCCGTCAATCCAGCGCGTCCAGGCAGGAGCCGGGCCGACCCACTGAGCCAGTTGGGGGTTGGGGGCTGGGGAGGGGCCTGAGGAGATCACGGACCCCAGCTGTGGGTCCAGTCCCACTGCATCTGACCCTAAGTGCAAGTGGCTTTAAACACCAAACCTGTTTCCCAACTGAGAGCCTGGGTAAGCACTGGCTAAGCTTTGCCTTGCTGGTTGTACTGGAGAAGTTAATATACAGGGATATAGTGAGAGGTATAAATTCAGCAGCAGGCAGGGTCCCGGGCTGAGTTGAATGCACGTGGGCTGGCTTCTGTTAAGCCCAGGCTGAGCGCATGAGCCGAGGGATGGACAGATTCCTGCCATACCGTCCTGCACAAACTCTGGAACAGTCCTGTGGCTCTCCGTCCCACGCCGGGGAGCAAAGGAGTCCCCCCGCTCGAGGGCCTTCCCGGCAGACAGGCCCCTCCCCGTGGCCTCACCTGTCTGGGGTGGACAAGTACTTCTGCTTCTGGAATTTCTTCTCCAGGCCCATGAGCTGCAGCTCCGTGAAGATGGTGCGGCTCCGGCGGGGCTTCGTCTGCCGGGGCGTGGGCTGCTCCGTCTCCGACTCGCTGCTGCCGTGGTTCTCGCCCGCAGCCTCGGCAGAGGTGGCCTCGGTGGCCGGGTGGCGGGACAGAGCCTGGGCGATTCCCGGGGTGGCGGGGACCAGGTGGGGGATGACGGTGGGCTGTCGGGCGATCACCGAGAGGAGAGGATATGCCCGAAGGGAAGCGGGGCCTGGAAGACAAGCAGGGAGGCAGGTCGCACAGGAGCAGTGGGGGAAGGGGGCCAGAGGCCCTCAGAGGACCCCGGGCCGAGACCCATCTGTCTGGCAGGGCCTCGTGTTCACAGGGACGTATAAATGGGGGAAGGCTGGGTGGGCAGGGCACACGCAGATTTGCTCAGCCTGGTCTGGTTTGAAGTGAATCTTTCCCCATCTCTCCTGTTTGAACCCCTAAATTCTGGTTTCAGAGATACGGGTCAATGGCACTGAGCAGACGGAAAGAAGAACTCAGATAAAGCTAGAAACACATCCTTAAGGAAGCCGAGATCTGTAATAGACAATGCACCTGAGAAGCACCTCTGGTCTTTATAAAAATACATGGTTGTAGCTATGAATTCTCCCTGAGAAGTCGACGTACCTTGAATCGTAACATTTTTCAGAGCTGGAAGGATGCTTAAGGGTTATTTAATTCAACTCGCTCATTTCAGAGACAAGAAAACAGCCCCAGAAAGCCTGAGGGACTTGATGGTGTCACAGAGCTAGGAACAAGCAGACTCGGGAGTCAAACCAGGTTCTGGCTTGAAGTCCAGGGCTGTTACCACATCATGAATCACACGGATGCATCATTTAGAAGAGGGGGCCCAAAAGATTTTAATTCACGTGAAAATTCAGATCCATTACACTGGCTGCCTCTGGCACTGTGTTAAGGAGGATTCTCAGGCTGGGTCAGAGCCTGGCTGAAGAATTCAAGCTGAGGTTGATTAGCAATGTCTGTCACGGGTGTGCAGGGGTAGGGGGTGTGGTGGCCTCCACCCTAGTTTTGTGCCTCTTCTGCTTTAGGAATTTCAAGGCAAGAGGACTTTTCTGGCCAAGAATCTGTTCTGTCTTTTGTCGACTGAAAAAAATTGCACAACCTAAGAGTTGAGAATTATGTTTTATATTTTTGGACTTTCTGAGGACTTCAAGCCAGGGAGGCAGCCTCTCAGATAGCTCTGGGGGACTGATCCGAAGAGGTGAGGGGGCACTAGGATATACAGGAGTTTTTGCAACAAAGACCAGGTGGTCAGAACATCAAAAGATTAATTCTGGTAATTAAACAGAACCATGGATAGACCTAGAGACTGTCATACAGCGTGAAGTCAGAAAGAGAAAAACAAATATTGTATAATATCACTTATATGTGGAATCTAGAAAAATGGTAGAGATGAACTTATTTACAAAGCAGAAATAGAGACACAGATGTAGAGAACAAACGTATGGATACCAAGGTGGGGAGGGGGGCGGTGGGATGAATTGGGAGATTGGGATTGACATATATACACCACTTTGTATAAAACAGATAACTAATGAGAACCCACTGTACAGCACAGGGAACTCTACTCAATGCTCAGTGGGGACCTAAATGGGAAGGAAATCCAAAAAAGAGGGGATATATGCATATGTATAGCTGATTCACTTTGCTGTATAGCAGAAACTAACACAACATTGTAAAGCAACTATACTCCAATAAAAATGAAAAAAGAAAAAGAAAACCAGACATCTCAAGTCAATGAATTTAGCGCTTTTCTGTGTATGGGAAGAAAGAGTCTGGGCTCACTGAAATCATTCCTTTGATGTGCACCTCAGCTCTCTAGGGCCAGTGTTCTGTTCCTTCCCATCCTGAGTCCCCTCAGGGGGCACCGTTGGGGGCGGCTGCAGTGGCCGAGGGCTTGGCAGCGGGCAGCCGGGCAGCCCGTTTGTCTCCACCCTGAGTTCCCTCAAGGCTCACCATCGGGGTGGAGATAGATAGTGGCTGATGGTTGATGGCTGCAACATCTTTTGTTTGCTGATACTTTAAAGTTCAAGTGAAAAAGCTCTTCCTTTTCATTGTTCCATAGTATTGGGTTTAAAATGTCACCATCATTACCTATGGAAATCATTTTATCCCTCTGGGGCTCAGTTTTGTCATTTGTACAAGTGAGTAAAAGTAGGTAACTTCGAAGAATTTTTCAAACTCTAATATACCGATGTCACAAAAGCACATCATCCCAAGCCCATCTTGATATCTGATGAAAACAGAGAAGATTCTGTGGCTGCCCTTTGGGACTCAGCCCAGACCTGACAACTCACTACAAGGGCAAGGTGAGCGTCGGAGCCAAACATCACTCACACTCATCCTGGGTTGAAACCAACCAAGGTCACAGAAGCACCCAGGTGCTACGTGCAAGCTCTCTCTCCTCTGGGTTGGCATTTCTCTTCTTACTCATTTCCATGCTTCTGTTTTGGACCCCAGTCATAGTTATTAAAAGAGATAACTTCTCTTGTTCTTTGACTACATGTCTAGTAAGGCCCAGTAGAAACCACAAAGCTGTTAAATAATAAATCACGACTTCCACTGACTCTCCAGCCAAGGCTAACACTTGAGGGTTTTTGTCGTGGATTCTTTTAATGAAAAAAAAAAAAATTTTATAATGAGAAAAGCAGGATACCTGGGACAGTAGTTTTGGATCTGCATACATCACGAAATGCTACCTCTCCAAAAAAGTATCTAGGGCTTCCCTGGTGGCACAGTGGTTGGGAATCCGCCTGCCAATGCAGGGGACACAGGTTCAAGCCCTGGTCCAGGAAGATCCCACATGCCGTGGAGCAGCTAAGCCCATGCGCCACAACTACTAAGCCTGCGCTCTAGAGCGTGCAAACCACAGCTACTGAGCCTGCGTGCACAACTACTGAAGCCCACGCGCCTAGAGCCCATGCTCTGCAACAAGAGAAGCCACCGCAATGAGAAACCTGTGCACCGCAACCAAGAGTAGCCCCTGCTCGCCGCAACTAGAGAAAGCCCGCGCGTGGCAACGAAGACCCAACGCAGCCATAAATAAATTAATTAATTAATTTAAAAAAGAATAAAGTTATGGGGCTTCCCTGGTGGCGCAGTGGTTGAGAGTCCGCCTGCCGATGCAGGGGACGCGGGTTCGTGCCCCGGTCCGGGAAGATCCCACATGCCGCGGAGCGGCTGGGCCTATGAGCCATGGCCGCTGGGTCTGCGCGTCCGGAGCCTGTGCTCAGCCACGGAAGGGGCCACAACAGTGAGAGGCCCGCGTACCACAAAAAAAATAAAAATAAAGTTATAATATATTTTAAAAAGTATCTAAAAGCTTCTTATACTGCTATTTTGTTTTCATTACCAAAGTAGCACAATTTCTTATAAAAGACTTTTAAAACAATTCAGAAATATATAAAATAGAAGTCTCCCCTCCCAGTTTTCAACCCCAAATCTTACAGGTAAACTTCCATAATTGTTCCTGTGTATATACAGACATATATATGTTCCAAATCTAGTAATAATGTATTCTAATCTACTGAAACACATAGTTACAAAGTGTTTATTTTGTAAAATATAAACATGTCACTTTATTTTTTCTAAATGGATAGCCAACAACCCCCAAACCCTTTAGTGACTAGCCCATGACTTAAAATGCCAGCCTTAAGGTACGTTAAGTTCCCAGTGAAATGAAGTTGGGAATTTTTGTTTATCAGAATTCTGAGAGTCTACTGGGGAATTTTAGTCACCAGAAGTCTGAGAATCTCCTGCTTTCTAGAAAAGCAGCCAAACTGGGACAAGAAGCACCCTTCCCAAGGGCTGCCCTCTGTCGGGACGGCTATAAATAGGTGAGGTGCCTCTATGTGAGGGTAGTGGGTGTGCAGAATGAGGAGGGGTCGGGGAGGGAAGAGTTAGGAAATCAGGTGGATCGGGGATGGGGGCGGATTTGTTTGAGGCCGCCATGAATCTGCAACTCTGGGGAGAGTGAAGGCTACTTTGAGAGGATTTCTGAAAAACATTTTAGGGGTGTACAGGGTAAAATCGTTGAATATATTCCTTTAAGTAAAACTAACGATCATCCTGTTCAAGGCTTCTGTAATCAGATTTCTGTTGTCTTTGAGTATAATTCTATAGATACTGGGCCATATGGGGCCCTAAAAATAGCTGGGTTATGTCATGAATGCATGTGTCTGTTTCTGGACTCTATTCTACTGAACTAATGTATGTCCTATGATAGGACCATTCCACTTTTATTATTGTAGGGTTTAGGGAGTTTTATTATCTGACAGAACAAATTTCCCCTTTTTATTTTTTCTACAAAATTTTCTTGGCTATTGTCATTAATTAATTTTTCCAGTTGAATTTTAGAACCAACTTGTTAGTCTCTTAAAAAGCAAATCCCGCTGAAAATTTATTAGACTTCTGTTGACCTTATAGATTACTATCAGGAAACATGATTCTTTTGATGATCCTGTTCTCTGGTAAGTTGAAAGAAATTGCTGGTAATTAAAAATGGCTTTTGGAGATTTATGCCATTTGGTTCCATAAAGCTTAAACCCAATGAAAACCTTCATTAAAAAACAAAAACAAAACAAAAAACTTCAGAAGAATGGTAGTGATTTAAGGCAACATTCTAATCACCAAAGTCTGTAATTTCAGGAATCTTGACCCAATGTTCTGATGCAGATTCAGTGACAAAATTGTACCTCTCCCCAGTGGCACAGAGCACCTTCTGATGTTGGAGATGCACCCACAAGGCCACTGTGATGCTGATAAATATTTGGAGGATTCAGGAGGACCATCATTGTAGTAAATAAATACAATTGCAGTGAGGCACTGTGTTGAGGTTTTAGTATTTGACATGTGTCCCTAAGGAAGGAACAAGTGTGGCTGGACCAGGACACAGGGTGGGTAATGTGTGCACAGCAAAGCACGACGTCTCCTGAGAGGCAAACCAATGGGACCAGAAAAGTGAGACCAAACATATTCTCGCCAGCTGCTCTATGTCTTTCCTTGTTTTAAGATACGAACCGATTTCCAACAAAATAGGATCGCCCCAGAGCTTTCATTTCACAGAGCACTTACACACCCGCCTCTGATATTCTTACAAAAGCACTGTGAGATAATCCAGCCATCTATTTATATTTTGGCTAAATATCAAATTTAGATTTTAAAAATAGGGGGGAAATTATAAATTAGCTCATACATTGTGGG